AGGTACTCCGCGGAATAGATCTTCAGATTTTTTTTGCCACATCGATTCCTCGGAGATTAGTGGATTTCATGGAGCCCTCAGAGCTCATCTCCGCGAAATCCATGTCTAAACCTGTAAATTTGATTTTTGTCTCTTTTTTGAATCCCCCCCCCCCCCCCCCCAAAAAAAAATTCTATTAGTGGTAATTTGTCACACCTCCAAACCTAGGATTGCGAAAACGTCCGAGGGTGGGATGACTTTATGTATAGTATCATAACAACGAGTATAATAGTGACCAAAGCAAACACAACCATCATAAATATGATCGAAAAAGTTACATGGTTTCATGAGTTACATGTTTCAAAATTGATTACAATATAATGATAAAATGAATTTTCTGACGCCTTAGCGACCCATCCTCAAAAGCTTGGTAGTTACTTGTTTTAATGATTACCTGAGAATACAAGTAATTTTGAAAGAGTGTTAACAATTAAGTTGGTGAGTTTATAAGCTTTTGTATGTAGAGTGAAAACCTTTCTTTGTAAAAGTAGTGTTTATTCCAGAAAAATCCAATAGTTTCCTTGATTAAATGAGTTGCAATATTAAAAACCAAAGACCGAATGTACAAGTATTTTTCCATACTTATGATAGTATATGCAGTTTTAAAGTAAATAAAACCATTTAAATATAGTAATTCCCCGTAAACTATATGTATCGTTGTTTCCCTATGTGAGTTATTATAACCATGCTAATGACATAGATGGCCTGTTACGACGTTCTTCAGGCGTCGGAAATGTTATAACATTTGTCATCCCAGACATGCCAGTCTAGCTATTGCAAGCAGCTTAGGTGCGGGATTGCCAATCCCAATATAGATCTATACATAAGTATCACGCTCTCCCTACAAGAGACTTTGGTTATAATACAAGACTTGGTAGGCACACTAATGTGTACTTGAAGACTTAGCTCACAAATTTGATTCAACGAGTTTACATGTAGTGTGAATGAAAAACATTTTCTGTAGTGGAAATGAAACCTTTCGTAGTGAGTTCGTAGTGTAAATGAACCATAAAAACTATACCTATTATAGTTTATCATAAATGTTTGTAATGATGAAAATCCCTATGTGTATGATGTTTACCTTCTTATGACAATGAAATAACATGAAACATAATCAACATGTAAGTATACTATTATTACACACTTTGCTCAACATGTTACACAATGTTAATGAACTTGTTAACCATTTTTCTAGTTTTAACTAATCTGTTCTTGTTCTTAGAAAAACTTATAGAAAAATCTTTGAAAGTCAAAATCTAAATCCGTAAAGACTGAGTGTTTAGGTAATGTGTCTACTTTGTTCATTATTTTTAGTATGATTTTTAGTGGTCTCAAACCAGTGTGAAAATGTTCATCTTCACAGACTGGTCCGAAATCATTTCTGAAATGATAGGCAGTTTTGTAAATATCGCCATAAATTGTATAAAAATCATATTAAACCATGCGAGTAGTCTTTAGAAAGGTATAAACCTAAACTATTTTCACCTTGTACATTTTTGATAAATATTAAGTTTACGATGGTCAAAACAGTTCGTGAATAGACCATAACTTTCCTGTTGAAAGATGATGTTTAAGTTCAAATTATGTTTTGGTGTTGTAAATTGTATCCCCCTAAAACTTGAAGAAAACATGAAAATGTAGGGGTATGAAATCACCTTTTGTGATTTCTTGTGGTGGAAGGTTGAAGGTGAGGAGTTTCTGATGGGTTTTATGTACTCTAACATTCCTATGGTGCACATACAACCCTAATGCTTTAGATCTAAGTTTTCTCTAATTATACATGCAACATTGTTTCAAAAGCATAAAGCCTAAACTAGCATGCAAAGTAACATTTAAATCATAAAAATAGTTCGAAGATTACATTGTGTAGTAACTTGCTTGTCTTTGACCTTTAGGAGCCTAGCACCTCAAGTGTGATGCCTCAATTGTCTAATAACAAACGAAGAACATGAGAATGGATTTGAGAGAGAGGTTTGGGAGATCAAAATCGGCTAGGTACATACTACTTGGAAAATAGCCTTTACGGCCCACAAATAATGACACACACTGATAGAGGACGCGCATTTGTGCGTGCCCTAAAAATTAATGTCAATTTTCCAAAATTTGAAAGATAGAGGACACACATTTGCGCATGCCCTAAAATTTGTGTCAAACAAAACAAAATTAAAAACACGGAGGGCGCTTATTTTAAGTGTGTGTCGTCTACAAATGTTGCTTTATATTGTTTTTTTTAACGAAACACGCATTATTAAAGTGGGATCTAAAATTCTAAAATTTTGAATACCTCGCTTCTCACTCTCTCCTCTGGATCGCCTTATCTCTCGTAAAATAGCACAAAGCCATTCTCTTCCTCCTCCTCCTCTCTCTCTCTCTAACCCTAGACACAACCACTGGCCATTCACGACGATGTCTTCTCCATTATCTTCTACTTGCTCCATATAATAAAATCGGTGACCAAACAATCAGGCTCACTTCTTATTTTGCTTTTTCGTCCCCCACAAAAACCCTAGTTTCCATCACCACTTCTTGAATTAGTTAATTTGGGGTTAAGGTTTGGAGTGATTTAGGGAGAAGATGGGATTGGGTAGTCTTCTTCCTCCCATAGTTGGGCCAGCGATAAAACTGCATGTAGGGCTTTGGAGGAAGTAGGCAGGTAGAGGTTCTTACAGGAGTAATTAGAAGCAAGCAGTCGGTGATGGTGAATCAACAGAGAGTCGGTCAAGCTTCATACATCGCACATTACTTGGGTGATACGTATAGTTTGGTTGCTCTAATGACTAAAAACTTCCCGGAATTAGGTTTGAGAAAAGAAGATTGTGTGGAAGGAAGTTAGATTGACTCCAGACTTTACTGGGCCAACTTCGACAACACAACCGTGCCGAAGATTCTCCTCAACAACCACTCCGACAACATCAACTTAGGAAAACGGAAGTCCGACTATGTCCAATGCCTCACTGCGCCGACAATATTTTTAAAATCCAGTATTCCATCGGGTGGAGCGACCTTGATCCTGCACTTGAAAGATACTGCTTAAATCAAACAAGGGTTACGCACGATTTCATGACAACATTTGTATCAAAGAATCCAAGAGGTGCGTTCTTGAATTACAGAGATCTTGACATCGGCGTAATGACCGGAGAAAATTACAATGAAGGTAAAGTTTACGGGAAGGATCATCGTCTAGGTTGCAGCTACTCTTCCCCTCTATTTCTCTCTTTCTCTCTCATCTCTCATCTTTCTTGCTCTAATAAACTCCCCTGTTTTCAACTTAATTTTATTTTGTAGTCCTGAGGTTCACAGTGATTTTATTCCTTTGATTAGTTTCGAGAATGCTTCGATTTTGCTGATGTTTATATCTATAGTTTTACCAAAAGATTTGAAGTTTGTTTTAGTTGTTTATCTGTGTAAGCTTGGTTGATCAGGTATGGCTAAAATAGAGATGTTGAATTGAAATATATATGCTTTGGTTAACCTTAAAGTCTGAGCTCCATTGTTCTTATAAGCATTGTAGTTCGAGTTCCAATCCGTGCTAAAAAGAACATATACCTTTGTGAGGCCATACATGTTAATAACTTATTAGTTGAAGATGCAAAACATTGGTTCTGTTATATTGGGATTTGTAATCTTCAACTGAGAAAATGGATACATGTAGACATTCACAAGAATGTATTTGTATATAGTAATATAGATGATTTTGTTACGCAAAATCTTGATTCTGAATCTTGTCACTCCCCACTCCAGCATATATGGATACATTATGGTGAGTTGTGAGCCTCAGATATGCAAAGTGAGGCAATATCAACTGGTCAAGGCTGATTAAATGAGGTCAAATAGGTCGTTGATTGTAGATGATTTCTATGGCACAATCAGGACACACATTCAGTAGCAAATTATTCACATACTCTAAAATGGAAATTGAGGAGGAAACAGGAACCATTCATATACTCTCCAATTTACCCCTGTTTCACCAGGTTCAGTTTCCGTTAACAATGATCATTGTTCGTTAGTTCATGATTTTAAGAATGATCATTGTTTGTTAGTTCAACTTCGAAATTGACGTGTAGTATAAACTTATTAAGGAAGTTCTGCTAGCTACATTCCATTTGATGCCTAGGTCCTTATTAGGAACAGAAGGATCTGGTCATATTTTTATTGAAAGTTAACTTGTTTGTTAATGTATGCAGAAGAAAAAGCATCCAAAAGTGATATTGAAACTAATGGTAATGATTATTTATCCTAAATTTAATCACAACAATAGAAAATCACAATTATACACTTATGTCTGTACTTTTTGATGTTCACCCTTAACATTAATTTTGGTAATCCCGAGATGCAGACTTTATTATCATCTAGTTGGTTTACTTCTTCAAAATCTACAAAGAAGGTATGCTTTTCTATTCTTCTTCTCATTTTATGAATTTAACAACCTAATTAAATTTCCTTTCAGTGTCTAACTTTTATCAGTTCCATTATGTGTTTTTCCCTTTTGCTTTTATCATTACACTTAGCCATGCCAAACTGCTATCATTCTTCTATAGTGTTTGGCAACGTAAAGGCTATGCATTAGGTTATTATAAGAAATGGTATTGTGGGCAAACTAAATAAAGAGCATCTTTTATTGCAGGGGCATTTTGGGCATTTATGTTAATGTACTGGTTACGTCGGAGTAGAAAGAATGAGTGGAAGGCATCTTTTCATTTGTGTGAAAATTAGAAATTATTCCTTTGGTAGAGGCTAGGCTCTCGATTCTTTAGGGTTGTTGTTCATTTTGAGGGATTAATGAATATAGTGAAGATTTTGTTCTTATTTTCTGATTCATATTGTTAGTTAGTTGGTAGCAGATGAGGGATGACAAGTTATATAATATTTTTGTGATTTTCGATCCATAGAGAGCACGAGTTGAAATTGATATATAATGTTTCCATTTGGTTTCAAGGTTGTTGAATTCAATCTTGAAGCTG